CCATCAGAATGCATGCAATATAAATCAAACTTTAAAATCACAATTAATTTTAAGGAACGGTTGTTACAATGCTCATGAGATCCATTCAAACAGTATTTCTGTAGCCTTACAGAAATCTAGTCTGTATTTCTTGAAATAAGAATGTGAATGGAGTCCCCATACTGATTCCAAAAGAAATCTATGCATGATTTGGAAAAACATTTTTTCACTTTTTTCAAACCTTGGCTTTCCTCAAAATCTAGCAAAAACAGTGAATATATTTCAGAGATCCATGAGAGGAGGAAAACACTCTGTTGAATATTTATGTTTAAGCCTGGCCATTCCTACCATTTTCTGCAGGACCTCTTCTGTCCTGCCCACATCACTGCTTTTCTCTTGCTAGACACATGTCTGTGGTGGCATTAACAAGCTGTGCCTGCTAGAATGAGTCTGCAGAAATTTCTCAATAGCTTTATGCAGAGTCCTTACTCTTACTGTCAGAGGGGGTGAGAAGAAAAAAGGTTTCTATCCCTGTCTCAGATGATAGAGCATGGCATTCTGTTACAAGTAGGCAATATTGAACATGGGTAAAAGATTAAGATCTTTGCAATCCTTACTTGGATAAAAATTAACCCCAGACAAAAATTCTATTGATGCCAAACTTTGACTATGCTTAATTCTAAAACTGTCATGAATCTGAAAAGCTCTAGTTCTATGAAAAGTATTGCTTCCAAAGATGATCTCCAGCCAATGCATCAGGCAGTGAGTGCTTGAAACTGTTGGAGGTGAGGAGATACAAAAAGCAAGTACCAAGTTCAGTAAAGTAAAACAAAATGGACAGTGAAAAATAAATAATTATTAAATACATAATCTATATGCACAAAGTAAATAAAAACAGATGTTCTGAAACTCTGGGTAGCCCTTTAATTCAAGACTACTCCTAAGGTCCAGTAAAAGATAGAGAGACTTCTGCTTAGTGTAACCTAGATCCATACAGTGACTCAAACAACCAAGTCAGCTTGCCTCTTAGGAAAAGGCTGAAAAAAAAGATAGGTTTTGCAACGCAAAAGGTGATAAAGCTGGGCTCTAATCGCCCTTTCCTGTCAATACTACATTTATTCCCAGAGTAGTCTCTGGTTACAAATGCAAGGGCATTCAACAGGAAGAGCTGGCTTGGATCTGGCCAACATCCAGAACTTTGAGGGCATTATATATCAAAACCAACCACCTATCTTCCTTCGAAATGAGCCAGAAGTGCACTACGGACCACAAGTGTTGTTCATAGTTCACAAAACCCCAGCCAGACTGCTGTCATCTGCCGCAGATAAGTTTGGTCAGAAAATACAGCACTGTGTCAAGTGCATTCCAGTAGTTTTATAGCTGGTTATTTGCTTTAGTAAGATGCCCGTTTCAGACAAAGGTTCTGAGGTTCCTTCTTTACATTTGTGACATCAGGTGGTAAAAATTGGGCTCTTCACTATGCAGGGTAAGGTAAGGTATTTGCCCTGTGATGTGAAACAGTATATAAAGGATGGAAGAGTTTCATTAATCACTGTGTGGCATTTCCATATTCCTACAGTGTCTAAGGAAGATAAAGCTTCAACAGTTCACTTGACCTAATAAGAATGGAGATGTCTCATACATACGGGCCTTCTCTGCTGTATGTATGTACTAACTAACCCAACCTGAGGTTGTAAGAAGCATGAAAATAATCTAAACCACAGGGTGCCTTGTAGGGAATTACTCACCTTCCATTTTCCCAGCAGCAAGCTGAGAGCCAGAAGAAAGAAATGGTAACTGCTAGCATGACAACTCTTTCAGTGGATTGTTCCTGGGGCTGGGCAGCTAGGTGCCACCTCTTATGCAGTGTGAGATGTGAAATACTAATTTATCCCTCAGGATATATGAGCTCAGAAGAAAGCTGAGGACAGGTGAAAATATAACAGTATGTGTTTGTCTAATATATGTGTGACTGAAGTGAATTTATGCACCAAAGTGAACAAGGAGATGAATTTTATTAGCTTTCCGTAAACACACTGGAGATACTGCAAAACAAAGGAAGCCTTTTTTTGTTAGATTTAATTTCATTTCAGCTAAACATCTCTTCCTGTTTCCTGCACTTGGGACAGCAAATCCAACCCTTTTACTTTCTTCCTGAAGGTAGTTACAGAAATCTAAATACAGCTGTTTTTACAGTTCTGCAGTGTTTGAGGGTCTAAGTCACAGTCTAGGAAACCACCATGAGTGGCATCACATGAACACAGAGTAAGTAACAGTCATTGTCTCAAGTGTGAAGTATTTTGAATCTGTAACACACAAACTCCAGCAATGTTGATTCATTCCCTTTTCCTAATGAGGTCTGTACAGGCTCAAAAGAACGACTGCATACTGAGTCTGGAGGGCTAAGACTAACATGAAATGCTAAAATATTAATGTAAAAGACTATGTTGCTTTAGATCATATATCAGAGATTTTTTTAAAGCTACTTTACCATCCAAAAGTGAAGTACCAACATCATTCACAGCTGTAACAAATCTTAAAGAATCCCTGCCTGCTGTTGATCTTAAGATTCTTCAGCCCGAATCTGGAACCAGAATTTGACATCACTGACACAAATATCAGCAATTAGATCTTCAACATACCCATGATAGTAGGATTCTGCTTTGATTCTGGAAAGTATTCCTGCACTACCTTTGAAAAGCCAAATGTTCATAATCTATTAAAGTCTTCTATTTTGACATTTTCCTAGCCCTGGTTCTTACAAATGCTTAATCCAAAGCCAAAAGAAACATTGGAGTCCTCTCTCTAGTCTTTGGTGAGTTTGGAATCAGTCTCATAATCCCAAAATTAGATGAAATGGTTACAGAAAAGAATATTGTATTGTACCCTTTGGTGGCAACATGGTAGTAGTGGTATGTAGTAGCAGCATTATAGGCAGAACTGGAAGGTTTTTTTCAAAAACAACACACAGACTCCCACCTCAAGTTTCTGATGAGGCACCGAGTGCAATTTTGTGTGGGATGATAATTAACTCCTGTCACAAGAGTAGCCCTCCACAGCCACTGACTGATTGTACTCCCAGACAGGCAGAAGCACGCACAGAAACGTGTTTTCTTGAAAATTTCCTCATTCACTGCACTTTTCCCAACTGCTTCAGAGTCTAGGAGGCAAAACGAGTAAAATCTGCATGTTTATTCAGGCAGATAAGACTTTATTTCTCAAAGGAACAGGATTCACCTAAATTTATATATATTTATATATATTTACATATGTATGTATATTTACATGTATCTCTATGTCTTTATATATAGATTTTGTGTATTTCTGTATTTTTAAGCAGCTGTAAAGGCGGGCGGGCGACAGAAGGCTGGCAGACGG